GCCCCTGTGGGAGGCTAGAAGGAGAAGAAAGGAGGAGGAGGAAACAAGCAGATGTACAGAGGGGAAGCAAAAAGGGAAAGAAAAGAGTGAGTGAGGGGAAAGTGAGAGACTGAATGGAGGAGGGAGACAGACAGGGAGAGAACCCAGTTTAGGAGAGGGAGTGTCTCTGAGCATATACACACAGACAAAAACACACCAATCCTAGCACTCAGCAGACTCTCACTGGGTTGAGAGGGCCACTGGGAGAGCACATAGGAAAACAAACAGAGCATTAGACTGCTTAAATACCATTCTAACCATGCAACTGTGGTTATCACTGCCTCAGTTCAGTCACTGATGACAGCTGAGGAGAGATCAGAAAGCCAACAATGTGACTACACTCCATAAATGTTAAACTTGTTGTTAGACTGTCACAAAATATTTTAGCCGTGTGAATGTTTTATTGCATGTTTTTGGGTAGGCAACCGTGGGAAATTTCTCAGCATCATTTTTATGTCTGTCTAATCTCAAATTGTCAACACTTCTCTTATGAGACCTTTACGCATGTTTCTGTTTCTTTTTTAACATTTAAAACTTTATTAAAGAATTTTCAAAAAATATTCATCACAAAGACAAAACTTGAACCAATTCTCCACCTGAAACTAAAGCATCCCCAGCATCTTTTTCTAGCACTTCATCTTGTAGTACTTCTTCTACTGTTTCCATTTATCGCACCCTTTTCCTTGCCTATGCCCTTTGCAGTCTTTGAACATGTAACAGTTTCTCTATCAAAAAAGATTTCCTTCCTTTATTCCAGCTATTAACACAATTTTTAACTGGAAAATCCAAAAGATGTGCACGGCCCATGTCAAATGCTCCACACTCTCTCCAACACCCCTGTTGTCTGCATAATTGCTTACTTTTGTTAAAATTTTCGGTATAATAAAATAGTAGTTAGGTTTTTCAATGAGAACTCCCAGACCTTGTTTCAGTTTGCAAATATTCTTTCCCCAGAACTATCATAAAAACAAGATGATCGAATATTTATTGTATAAATTACTGGATTGTCTAATAGTGGAAATATTTATAGACTTTAGAGAGGTAACTGTGGTCCTGTAACATGGCAGTTCTGCATGCGGGCTGCAAGCTCTTTGTGGTTGTGTGTCAGGGCGAAGAACAAATTTTGTCAGGTGGAGACTGGGCTTTAGGGGTTCATTTGCAGTTCACGAAAGAGCATTCCATGCAATCTTAACATTTCCATTCACCCTGCTGCCCCCCTCCCGTATCATACAGTTCATTCTTGTCTGTGAAATGCTGCTATCTTCAAACAGTTCTTTCTTTACCTTTGATATAATTTTGCTTTTCAATTCAAAATGTGGAGACTTTGACATACTATATTTTTCCTTCATGCTCCTACTACAGCGTACAGACTAAGTGTTGTATACTGAACCCTAATTATACTAAAGTGTTTCCAAAATGCATCATTTACTGTGCTATTATTAAAACATAGAGCTAAACACACACACACTCTTCAATCTAACATAGTACTACAGCTGCTTTCTTAATACTTCTGTGAGTTGGACTTTGCAGAAATTCCTCAGATATTTTATGAACAAATTTAACAAAGAAGAAAGAGTCAGACAGAAATACAGACATGTGCATAGGCAGATACTTTATTCATGCCAGCCAGAAAGTCACCTTCAATATCACCAATAAGGGGTTATTGGTGATATTTCCAAATAATGTTCCCAATTTATGAATGAAATTGTCCTTTAACTTCTGTGTTTTTTGCTGCGCAATGAATTGTTTTATCAAAATGATGTGATGAGAGAGGAAACATTTTATTAAGAGGATACTAAAAATAAAATGTTCTGGAGTGATACAAACTCTTAGCTGAAATGGAACACTGCTTTTCGTGAGATGGCACACTTTTTGCTCAAATAGCATAATACATTTTGAAACGGCCTAATTAATGCCATTGAAAATAGCATTATGATTTAATAACCTCTCCTTTTTAAAGATATCTTAGTAAATTAAATATTAATCTAGCAGTACCCGACCAGACACAAATGCATGTTTTCAAAAGTGAACACTGCAGTAATGATACTTGATGGTAAGGTAAATTAACTACTGTACTCATTTTGTATGAAGTTTTTCTTGCAATAATTTTAAGAAACAATATTTTATTCTCATTCCCCCCAGGAATAAGAAAATGCATTTACAGTACAATGATAATTAAGAGAGATTAAGAAGGTTATGCTTGCTGTAATCCTCTGTTTCAAAGAAGTAATTTTAAATTAAAAATATTAATGCTCCTTACTGCATTAGACACTAAATTGTTTTTAAAGTTGGTTAAAACATAAAAATATAGAGCAACTGTGTTCGTACAGTAAGTTTAATATGCATTAGTTTAGCCAGGAACTAATTGAAATCAGCTCTGTTTCTGATAAAGTACTATAATTTAATTCAGCAGCAGCATAAAAATACACTTCTTTTCTTGGACTTTTTATTTTATTTCCTGTTTCAGCCTCAGCCCAGTTCCATCTGTTGGTCTGACCAGAGTGACAGCGAGGGTAACTTATTGCTAGCACATGTGACCGGGTGAGTGTGTGTATGTGCCACAACCTATCACACAGAATCCCCCTGCCTTATCAGACCCCTCAGATGGATCTCTACCTCTATTAATGCAGGCCCACGGCAAGCGCATTTCGCCAAATGTCAGCATGTAATACAAACATGTGGCTTATTTTGAATGTTGTGAGCCCCCCCCCATACATGTACCCCCCTTTCCCTTAAGCCTTCTTTTCTTTGTTGGTGTCCCAAAAGTTGCAGCTCACTTACTCACATTTTGAGGAAGGGAAGTGGAGCTAGTGCTGTTGTGGCGAGGGACTTCAAAGAAGTTGGAATGTTGGTTATGAGCAGGCAGAGGGCAGAACCTGATCAATGGCAGGGATTTGTCATGTAATGGCCCCTTTGGGGGGGAGTTTAAGTCTAATTTCAGAGGTGCTGGGAGTAGGATGGAGTACAGCATGTCCTAAGTTCCTTAGTTTCATGTCTGTTGTCATCACACACAGGCTAATTGTGGTGATAATGTGAAAGTGAACATCAGTTTTTACTCATTTTGAATGGTTTTATGGAGATAAGCATATGTTGAAATGCACCAAACACAACATTTCATGGTTGTTTCACATTTCTTTCAGACTAATTGCAGTGATAATGTGAAAGTGAATATCTAGTGGATTTTGATATACATTAAGTAAACTTTTTTTCAAGTCAGAGAAACGTTATCAGGTGACACACTTATATTCATAAACTCTTGTGTGTAAATTCATAGCATATTCTTTACCTAACCTGGTGCTGATGTCACCCGGGGATAGCCTGTCAGGTAATACAGCCCACAGTAACTCCAGTTCACTTCAATATTGATGTTTCCCTCCCCTTGTCTCTCCATCAGCAATATATTTAATGGTCACATTCTGTGCTTATTCAGCACAAGAAAAACGAGAGCAGGGTAAACATGTCAACTGGAGAGCACAAGACATTAGTCTTGTAGCTTGAAA